ATATTCAGAAGATTTATATATGTTTTATGTCATATTTTTTATGCAGTTTGTCTTTTTAGTTTTCGTCTTCCTTTCCTCCTCTTCTCTTCTCATCTTCCTCATTCTCCTTTCCTTCCTCTTCTACTTCCTTTCATTCCCTTCTCCTCCCCTCCTCTCCTCTTCCCATCCTCCCTCCCTCCTCCCCCATCATCTCTACTCTCTTCTTCCCATTCTTTCTTTCTGTTGGAATTCGTAGGTGAGGCCATGCAAAAGTATAGTGAATGATGAGGTCAGGTGTAGGCTAGACAACAAAGATGTCTCGAGTCCTTTATCTGCTAAGTAACAATGTCGAAGTAGCGTGCTCCTCCTTTATTTGCTAAATAATGGTGTTGGAATGATCCTGCTTGTTATCTTCATGCAAGGAGTCTGATCACATCCCAACAATAGTTTAATGATTGCTTTGAATCACATATTTGACATTTGGGAGTTGAAGAAAGAAGTGTTACATACATACATAGTTAATGCAGAAAGGGAAAGACAACACAACACTAATAAGTCTAGAATGGTAGGTAGAGATGAATTAATAGGAAACATGCATATATCTACTTATTCTTGTATGTCCAATAATAAGGTATGTATATGATATACAAAATATGTTCCATCCTTCCTTCCTTCCTTCCTTCCTTCCTTTTTCCTCTTGTTTCTCTCCTATCATCCTCCCTTTCCCATCATTATCCTCTACCACTCTTTCTTCCAACTCCCTCTCTTCTCCACTCTCCCCCTCATTTTCTCCCTTATGTTCCTCCTTTTCTTCCGCCTCTCCCGTTTCTCTTACTCACTTCTACTTCCCCTCTTATTCACCCTCCACTTGTCATTGCTATTTTTCTCTCTTATTCTCCTCTTCCTTTCTTTCCCCTCTCATTTTCCTCTTCTCCCACCTCCATTTGCCCAGACTGATCTACCCAGTTGTATCTTCCTATCCGTCTGCCTTTCTTCTCCAGGATGGTGTCCACTATGAGCGCGTGAAGGACGAGGAGCTGGCGGTCGGGCATGTGCGGCAGGACCTGACCTATATCACCCACCGCCGTGCCATTGAGAGGAAGAAGATTGAGAAACTTAAGGCTCAGCTGCACCTGCTGGAAACAGACGAGGAGAAGCCAAAGAACTCGCATGTCCTCTTTGTTGATGATGAGAAAGAAGGTAGGGGGGGGGGGGAGAGAGAGAGAGAGAGAGAGAGAGAGAGAGAGAGAGAGAGAGAGAGAGAGAGAGAGAGAGAGAGAGAGAGAGAGAGAGAGAGAGAGAGAGAGAGAGAGAGAGAGAGAGATTTTGCATGGTCTTTTCTTCTTTCCCTTTCCTCTTCCTTCTCTTCTTCATTCCCTTCTGTCCACTTCCTGAGGTGTGAGATCCATTCTGAAAGGATGAGAGGCTAGCTTTGTTTCAGTCATGAACAGCCTCTGGGAACTATGGGCATGGTATTTTCTTGGTTAATCGCCTAGCCCTTACTCCTCATGGGAGGAAGGGTAGGCCATTTCTTCTCCCCATTTATTTCAGACTCACCATGGCCAGTAATGAAGATTTCTTATTCTTATTTGTGGTATTAAGGCTTGCTCCTTCATCACCTAGCCTATCTAAATTTGATTTCATTGGTTTCCTGACCCCTACCTCTCCTTTGACAACAAATCTAACCACTGATACTAATACCTACTCCTCAGTGTCTGCTGTCAACTCTTTCTATTCCGAATCATCTACCCAGGTCATTACTCAACCTTTAGAATACACCCCTTCCTCTCTCCCAACATCCTCCACTCTATCTCCTATTGCACAGTCTTCTTCATTGTCTGTCCCCACCCCCCTTATTATTGTTCATCCTTATTGTCCTCCTCCCAACAATGCTACCTCTCTCCATACCACCCCATCTCCCTCCCACCCTTGTCCTACTGCAGATCTTGTAAGTACCCTTTTTGGCCCAGAAGTAGGATCTTTGTGATTACCTCTACAGCCCCAAACTCTGACAATACCTATCTCTTCCAACAATGTCTCCAAAAATAAGTAGGCAAAGTTTCCTTTTACAGTCGTTCCAATCACGCGCAGCTTGTCACTATTACATCTGAGTACCAAGTTTATGCACAATTTACTCAGACTGACCTTACTGGCAAACCTATTCCTGGCCAACCTCACTTCTCCCCTAATACTTGTACTGGAACTGTTTCTGTCTCTCTGAGTAATTGTCCTGTCTTTGACAAGGATTGGTCGGACTGTGAAAATGACTTGCTCACAAGCCTCGTTGGCTATGATGCAGTGGTATTTCAGTGCTACACTATTCCTCTCAGAGGCCAGTGTCAATCCTTACACCGATATTGCCAAAATTTAGCTTCTGTAGACATGACCTTCTCCTTTTAAGTTTATATTGGTGGAGTATCTTGCTCTGTATGACCATATTGATCTCTTCCCCATCAATGTTAGAAATTTTGGTGCTTTGGCCACCCAGCCAAAAACTCACTCCACAGCCCACTGCCCTCTGATTTTGCCCAACCTGGTCATGACTGTTCAGATTACTCATGCATGTGTGCCAATTGTGGCGGCTCCCATAGTGTATTTTATATACAGTATAAAAGTTAATCTATTTAAACATGTGTGATTATATCAGGACTAATATATCTATTTATGTTATACTATTTTCCTTCCCTCCACACTTCCCTTCCTGCAACCCTCTTTTTCCCCTCCTTCCCTACCTCCCCATTTCACACCTTTTCCCCTTCTCCTCATCCCTTTCTCCCTCCCAGACTACACTCTAACCTGATCTCTCCTTCCACAGCCAAGAAAGCCAGCCCAGCCAAGCTCCTTGACACTCACCCAGCACTGCTCAATAGGACCTTCAACAGGCTTAAGACATCGCAGTTGTCGTCACTACCGAGGGAGCTGAACGACCCTGAGATTTTGAAGGTAAGGAGGTCATAGGGGTGAAATTGGGAGTCTAGGGACTGGTGCTTGACCTTCTTTCTTTCTTTCTTTCTTCTTGGGGGAAGGGGGGGTTAACTTCATTCTTCTGTTGATTTTCTTTCTTACTTTGATATCAGGGTTGGTGCTTTTTTTTTGTTTAAAAAAGAAAAAAAATCTGAATTATTTGATTTATATCTGACTTTTTTTATCATATTCTTTTAATTCAAGTTTTTTTTTATCAGCATAAAGATATTTGGAAAGCTATCATATATTGTATACATTAGTTTAGAACACGTTTTGGAGTGATTTTAAAGCATGTTGTATCATCTCTCAGTTGGTCTCAAAGTGTTTAAACCTTTCAAGCAGCCCAGTAGCCATTGGTCAGGATTGCATTATCTCTCTGTCCTGACTCCTGTTCCTGTATATATCATGTTATGTTATGACTGGACTTGTGACACTTGTGGGATACTAAAATGCATGTGGTGTATATAGTAAAATACTTAAGAAACAATCACTATCCTTTTGCATATTGATTTTTGTTATGCCTCAAGACACAAGATGGAATACCATGTGTAACTGTCTGAAGAGTTACATAAAGAACTGGTCAGCTATCACGAAAATTTGTGGAGTTGATAAGGAGCAGAATGATGTCAGAGTTTGAGAGGTGTCTAACTTAATACTGAAGTAGTCAGCAGAGCATCTACTTGCACAAATAGACTAGCTGTGGCTTTGGACAAAGTACAGTGATAAATGTACAAAGTGAGCATATGGAAAGAATTGAGGTTTGGCCAAGTCATAGCACATCTTCTTGCAAACCTAATTCATCCTTCCTTTCAAGGAAAACTGCTCAGTGCAGAAGTAAGTAATGCAATAGACTATACCAATGAAAACTTCACTTCACTTCACCTCAGCCATCATGAAATTTCAAGCTAAATTGGCTCCCTTTCAATGGAATTAGGTTTAGTGATTCTGTGACCAAGTGTATGTCAACTATTGAATGGTGGAAGTCACATTCAAATGTGTTGGATAGTGACGTAGTTTCAGCAGCACATCTACTGTCTTCAGTGGCATCTTCATCAGTTTTTTTTTTTTTTTTTCAAGTTATGGTAAAGTAGATTCAAAATTAAGAAACCGGCTGATGATAGAAAAAACAGCAAAACTAGAGTTTTTGCTTAAAATGCAGGCTATAATCATTCCCCATTTAGAATTTTCCTCTTTTAATTTCATAACTTGGGGAATAAATACAGTTCAGTATAAGTATACCTCTTTGATTTTTTTTCTTTTTTCTTCTTTCTTTCTTTCTTTCTTTCTTTTTATAGCATATGAAATATTTTTAAGTGCTGTATTGTAAAAGGAAGTGTTTTAGTATTCTACTTCTCAGAAGCGAGTACATTTCATTACAAGTGAAACCCTTTGATTTCATTTTTAATGGAATGTGAACATTTTCATTGAATTGTAAAAGGAAGTTTTTGTATGTCAATATCCACAGGTTCTTCAAATCTTATACAGCTGTTATTGATCATTATTTATCTTCTTTTCTTTGAACAGAAAGTAACCATTTCAAAGGGCAAAGCCTACAAAGAACTGGCCAAGAGGATAGAGAGAGAGGACAAACTCCGCATTATGCAAGAGAAGTTGGAAGTGCGGCAGCAGCTCATGGTGAGTTTGTTTTTAGTTTGGACCCTGAGTGGTTCTTTCTGCTTCTTATTTATTTTCTGTTTGGTTTCTTTTTCTTTTCTTTTTTTTTGACAGTGTTCTGTTAATGTTGATTTTAATTGTGATTTCGGTGTTTATTATTTTTTTCTTTCCGTCTCTGTCTTTTTTCTCTCTTTCTGCTTATCTCTTTTTCTTCTCTTTCATTTTCTAATTTTCTGCCATCATTCTTTTACTGGGTGTATGTTACTTCATAAACCAGCCATCAGTTTGATTAGAATTTTTCCAGTTGTCATTTGAAAATCATCTCTTGTATAATAATTTGTTATATACATTATTATCTCCATCAACTAATTAATGATCTCCTTTAGATAATTACTTCTTTGTCTCCACTTGCTAACTGTTAAAATATCTTGTCTCCTTTTGATTATGATATTTGCACTCTGTAATAATGATCTTTCCTCATTTTTTTTTCCTCTCATTTAATTTCTGTCTGTATGTGCTTTCTTGTTTAACATTTCATAATCAATGAATTATCAAAGCCATTATAACAAGTAATTTGAATGAACCCTCTTATAAGTTCCAGGGATTGCACCTTTACCTATGCTCTTATTTTACATTTTGATTTGTGTTAATTTGTACTGTATTGAGGACTGACACTGGTGTAAGGCCTTTTAGGATTTAGGGGTGAATAGTTGTCATCATTAAGGTAAGTTTATTAGAAGGAGTTTACCATTTGGTACTGATTGTTTTGTGGTAAATCTTGTTAGCTCTGCCTTTTTTTTTTTCCCATCTAATGAGCTGCCATTTAGCTATTCCTTGGATATACAGCTTGGCTACTGATCTTTTGAAATTGAGCCTGAAGATGCCCATCAGGTAGGAATGAAGGGGAGAGAACAAGAAATTGTTACTCTACTCTCCAAAAAAGAAAAGGGTTCTGGAAGGCTGATATAAATGTGTGACTGGGATAATTCTATGAGATTCCAAAGGCAGGGAAAAAATACGGTAGAATGAGAGTTAATAAGTATTTGTTTCTGATGCTGGTTTTCAGCAATACTAAGTTAAGGTAACTGTCATTTATATTTTGCAAGCTCGTAGTTCAGTGAGAAATAAGTTGCCAGAAAGTGTGTGTTTGGGAGGGGGGGGGGGGGTAATTCAGCACTATCTAACATTCCATATTTGTTGCCAGCCCTCCTTTCTAGGAACACGAGATGATGTGTCTATTGACCATGGAGTAAAACAGAGCCACTAAATAAATTAAATTGATGATAAAGAATAAATCTTAATCACAACTTTAGACCTCATATGGTCAATAATGATATTCTATCACCTCAACTCCACCTAGTATTTACATTATTTCTTCTCTATATCGACTTTTTAACCTTTTAATGAGCCAGGCACAGGAAGGAAATTGCCCAACAACCGGCATTACTGGCCACTAAACAATTTTCAATACTGTAGTTAATAGGTTAATAGAAACTTTAACTGTAATTAATATTTCTTTGTACTTTGTATTTGTAAAGCTTTATGAGAGAATTATAATAACAGTAATAAGTAATTGCAGAAGGAATTATTACCAGTTTTCTTTGATTTCTATACTCTGACATTTGTGTCTCATATCATACCAGATCTCGCAATCACAGTAACTTACAACCAAACTAAACTTTATTTCTCATTACAGAAAAACAAGGACAAACAAGGCAAACCTCCAAAGCTAGTTGTCGAGGGAACCAGTAGCTCTGCACCTGTGTACAAGTGGCCACAGGAACGACAAAAATAAAAGCTCAAAGAAATTGAAAGACCTATTGTTTAATTATCTACTAGATCAACACATGAGGTCATTGGAGGCCTTTTAAACAGAATTGTTATTTGACAAGTTTTCAAAAGAAAATATTTTTGTGTGTAATTTAAGGTATATTATTCAAGTAAAGCTTGTTTTTCCAATAAAGTTAGTTTATATATCCTTTATTTGTAAGATTACTTGACTTGGATTCTTGTTTCTACTTGATTGTTTATGTATCTTTTGTGAGAATTTTTTTTTTTACTGGTTTGTTTTTTTGTTTTGTTTTAAATAAGGATTCTTTGATTTTCATGTTTATTTATAAAGTAAAACAGGTACATTCACTTAGTTCACATACAACCAAATGTTCCTCTGCTTCTCTGAAACTCAGGAAAGCTTCTCTGTAAAGATTTCACATACAAACCCAGAAAGTGCTTCCCTGCTTCACTAAAATTCAGCAGAAGCTCTCAAAACATTACAAATTTGAACAAAAACAAACATTTGGAGCCACTCGCATAACAAAAACTTTTTTTTCAATTATTTGTTGTTTTTATGTTTTTTTAATACATCTTTGCTCCCAATGTATCATTACATGTGAAAAATTTGAATGATATGTTTTTCAACATTAATAAGGAGAATATCAATGAATACAATTAATGATATTCTACATGGGAGGAAAGAATGATACTTGATAAAAAGAGGAAGAGAAGATAAAAGGCAAAAAAAAAAAAAAAAAAAAAAAAAAAAAAAAAAAAAAAAAAAAATAATAATAATAATAATAATAATAATAATAATAATAATAATAAAATAAAAGAAAGAGTGAGAAAGAGAGAAGAAGTGGAAAGAAGAGAATATGAATAAAAAAAAATATATAATAAAAGAAAAAAAAAATGCAACAAAATGAGATGTGTTCTCCAGCTCGATGACAGTTTAAAAAAAAAAAAGAAGAGAAAAAAAAATCCAAAAAAAAGGGACATACAGATGTCAATCAATAGATGTAAATCATTTTATGATTTCTCCCTTTTACAACAATGACATACATATGTTTTAACGTGTGAGTGTAGTATGTTTGTGCATGTTTACAAGTAGTGTTATGCATTTGTAAGTGTTTGTGTGTGTGTGTATGCTCAAGATACACTTAAATTGCATATAAATGTGGCAGGTTCCTGGCATGTGAATAACATACAACTTCATCACAACCTGTCACAACACACAGGTAGTGGCAGTGTTATCTTTTTTTATATCATTAGTCATTTATTGCACTTATCAAGTTTTGTTTTCTGCAACTCCTACGCACATCAGAGATGGTAATTTAAATACATACATATCAACTTTCTTATATATTTATTGTCTGCTTCCCTTGAGGATCTTGCACCTATAAACTTTTTTTTTTTCATTTTTTTTCATTTTTTTCATTTTTGCAATCACTGGCCATATATACTTTTCAAAAAAAATATTCGCAAAGATGCTGGAAAAGAACCAGCAAAATTTTATCATCAATTTATTGCATCGCCGAACATTGCCAACGTCCTTTGGATTTCAATATTTATGAATAAATCATAAATACATACTTATAATAACATCAATTATAAGGATGAGTCATATCATTTAGTAATACTGATTTATATGAGTATACAGAGAGTATATCCTTTTCGTAAAGATGATACCAGGAGCTAAAATAGTTCATTTAATTAGGATCTTCATTAGAGATCACAACAGATCTACAAAGTAATTAGTCTGGAAGGATTGAAAAGTGAGAGAGAGCATCATAGGAGAAGTGTAGTCCATGCAGTACAAATGTGTACGTAATATCAAGACGATGAGATAATGTTGTGTCTGTCTTTCGCTTTTTTTTTTTTTTTTTTTTTTTTTTTTTTTGTTTATTTGTTTTTTCTTAAACCGAGTAGGCAATTTTCGGCTCCAGGACACACCCAGGCAATATGGTTTGTCATGTAAAGTATAGGAACACGGTTGAAATGGGCTTGTGAATGAAGTCATTAGAGAAAGGGTTGGTAGTTTTACATAACCTGTCGTAGAATGCAGTAATTTTTTTCCCTTTTTTAAAATCTTTTCATTCTTTATCTTCACCATACAAGGAGTTGGCTGTGAGCAGCTTGTTGGCAGTGGTATTCAAAATGCTCTGTTGCTCGCCATCTGGTCATCTCACTCACAAAAAAAAAGAAAAGAAAGAAAAACAAGAAATCAGATGATAAATGGTATGGGCCCAATCTCAAGCAGGTAGTGAGATTCTCCTCTTGTTGCGTTTCACTGCGTTGATGGATCACTAATGTGTATACCACTGGCTGTCTCCTACTTTCCCTTTCGTCAGGTCTGATTGGTGACTGGCAGGCTTAGTGTAGATTTTGTCTTAAGGTCTATGATCGTCTCTATGCTGAAATAAAAATAAAACAGAATTAGATTCAGATTAAAATAACTTTGCATAGTGTTTAGGTTTGTTATTTTCTTGAACAGTGTTGTTTTAACTGCTGAATGTAAAGTCTTAACATCCAGCACAAAAGTATCTGATTATCAGCTGTGATTTAATAATGTTCAATAATGTGACTATTATAACTTTCCACTTTTTAAAATGAAAAAATAAAATTAATTAAGAGCTAAATGCAGCATAATCTTTATTTTAGTTTAGAATACTATCAAATTCTATTTACAGGCTAGCATTTAGATTAGTTAGTGCTGTAATTATAAAAAAAAAAATATATATATTAACATAACATAGCTGTGATTCCATATTACATATAAATGCACACAAAGAACAACTCATAATTTAGCAAAGCCTTAACTAAACATCTACAATAGTGCAATAACCTTTCACCATTTATCCAAGAGCCATGCACTAATGTTAAGAGAATTCCACAAGATGGCAGCACCAGGTTGGCCAAGAAAGCCTGCCAATGACTGCAAAGTACCCGAGCACCATTTCTCCTGCTTGTGCTTAGTAGCTAGTGGTTACAATTTGGTTGGTTAGTTCTAGATACGTGAAATTTCTATCGAGGCTGGAGAGCGTGATCTACTGTTAAAATACACTTCGGCGGGCTACCTTCGGCTTCCTCCTCTTCCACTTCTTTGACTTTCGTTGATGTGTCTGCTTCTCCTGCCTCACCTTCCTCCTCTTCTTCCTCTTCCTCTTCCTCTTCCTCTCCTTCCTCCTCCTCCTCTTTCTCTTTCTCTTCCTCAACCTCACCAGCAGCTTCCTTCCCTTCAACACTCTCTTCTTTCAATTCTTCGGAGACCACTTCTGCATCAACACCTTCTGCCGCTGGTTCCTCATTCACCATTCCACTGACATCTTCCGTTTCTCTCAACCCTTTGTCTGTGATTAGGGTAGGGGGGTGTGGATTGTCATGGGACATTAAAGGAGATTGAACAGAAAGGGTGCATGGGGATTTAAATGCATGACATGGTGGGTGCACAAAGCCACACTCTTTTTGCATACATGCTTAGTTTCTTTTCTTTTTTTTTTTAAGGGGGGAAGTAGGGTCTAATTTGGCATGCTAATTCAGTTTATGGAAGATAAAGGCTGACTTGGAGAATCATTAACAATAGTTTGAAGAAGAAAGGAATGGAGGACTGCTTTTTTCTGATATCAGGTTTCTTTTTCACACACAGATCTCCCTTGACTCATAGAAGTGGGGAAAATGATATACCATTTTTTGTTATTGTTGATAATTATTTTACAAAATACTCTCTTTACTACTCTTTAATATTCAAAGATATTTCATACAAAAAAAAAATCATATTCTATGTGGCTTCCCTGTCCGAACTTTCATTTCAGAAAAAGCTTTTGCTTTAATTTATGTAACAAAATTGTCATTTCAATAAGAAGTGAAGAAATTATACCTATAATTGTATATAAATCAAAATACAAGATGGCAACAGATATACACACCTGTACTTTGTGTTTTACTTTAATACACTTAACATAACTGCACCAACAATGGCTAGAAATAAATGCAGCAAAAACATTCATAAAAAAAACATACATCAGTTTCACCACTTTTCTGTAATTACATAAATTGTAATCATATACAAAAAAATCTATTCAAATTCAATAACCATTATTTATTTACCATTATTAAAATTCCCGGAACTACTTTTTTTCTTCGAAGGAACATACCAGGAATATTCACACCTTATACCCAATATATATTTTGCATTCTGACTTTGATTAAGCAAACGAAAATTTCTTTATCTATTGAAACATCTCCCCAATTATCCTTCTATTCAATCAAAGGACATTTTGTGTGCATAATAAATTTTTAAGCAGATTTTCTGTTGTTTCTTTTTCTTTCTCTTCCTATTCTTTTAGCTTTGGCAAAAGACGGAAAATAATTACCTTCTGTGGTGGATTCAGTTGCGGCAGCTGGTACCTCGTTCACCTCAGCCTAAGTATCAGAAGAAAAGAGATTAATATAATCAATAAATATAGATAAAGCAGAATGATTTTTTTCAAAACAAATAAAAAAAAAAGAGAAAAAATATATACTCTTAATCCTATCATTTTACTCAATATCTATTTATATTAAGGAACAATTTTCACAGAGATGAAGCTGTCTAACAATGTCAGGACATTACCATTCATAAAGAAAATATTCACAGGTGTCTTCTCTCGCCATAGAAAAATTACCTTTGAAATCTATTTCTTGTATCTATTTTTCATGAATACTATTTGTAGCTAAATCTGATTTTATGTTTTTTTACAGAATCCAATTTTTTTTTTTACTCTCTTATTGTTTTCATTTAATAATTTTCAATAGTAAATTATTAATCTTTATTTGAACTAAATCCTACATCATATGTAATTACCAGTACTTTAAAACCAGTTCCATAACTTCAAGCTCCCTGCAAAATATAATTTAATATGATATTTTCATAAAGATTAACATATAAATTCATAATATTACACACTCAAGATTAAATCTAACAATTATATCAGTATTCAAACTTAAATTACACATTTCTCCCATTCAACCACCACCATATTCTACACATTTAATATAAAATGAGACCCTATCTAAACACAAACTCAAATTTTCCTGCCATCTTGTATTAAAGGCGTCAGACAACAAAAGTGTTCATGTTCGTATCTAAGAAGAACAATGCCACAAAAGGAGATAAGTAATGATCATACAGAAATAACAGAAAAGAATGTTTATAAGGCATAATGAATAAGAATTTCCGTAGTCTCTTTTTAGAAAAGGTAATCCATGTAATAGTACAAAGAAGGGTTATCAGTTTGACTACATCTTTTTGTTTAACGATCACAGCAAGTTCACCACCACCTATATTCTACTTCACAAGCATCTACTACAAATACTGCTCTATATACATTATATATCAATGTGCATTAGTAAAGCGTAAATGTCTTACCTTAATAGCAGTGTTAGAAGCATTAGGCTGGTTTCATACAGCTGTACTGCAAGGTTGGTAATGGAACTACAGAATTTGGTTTTCTCTCTCATTCTCATTCTCTCTTTCTCTTTCTCTCTCTCTCCCTCTCTCACTCTCTCTTTAAGGGAGGGAGGGTGGGAGGGAGGGAGCAGGCTGAGGTTAATGCTGGTTAATATACAAAAGCACTAATACCACAGGTGTTGTTGAACAGAATTCTTTGGCAAATGTAGAATAAAAGATAAATGAGAATGACTAATTCCACAAAGCAGGGTATGTAACTGACATATCATGGCACTGAAATATTTGCTACACCTTCAACATTGTGCAATCATTCATTCTCATTCATACATTCCCAATGTACTATCATTCGCTTTGCTGCAACTATGGATATATATATACATAGGTATATACAAATATGTATCTTTTGGTATTCTTTTCTGGGGTTCACATTCATGTCATAATGATGGCATAATTGCTAGAAAAATAAATAGAATAAACTAAAGGCATCATCTGCAAGCTTGTGATATTCTCTACATTCTTTCAAAAATTTGCTTTAAAATTGTGGACAGAGCATCTTTGACATCTGCATACCTCATTTTCTAATGTTATATAACACAATTATTATATATTCTGTATAAATCTCATGAACAATTAAAACTCATGGTATGAATTACATATTTTAGACTAATAATACGTTCTCATAAATTCTACTCTCCACATCTTTATCACAGAATAGTATGCA